ATCCTATCAACCACCACTTCCCATGGATTTGATTACTAAACTGTGATTGTTGTTTGTGTATTACTGTGTGTGTGTGTGTGTGTGTGTGTGTGTGTGAGTTTTTGTGTGTGCTGCTGGAATGGAACCATCACACACGCCAGGCACATGCTCCACCATTGAGCTACAACTCCAGCCTGTTCTGCATTTTGTAGTGATGTATTTCAAATACACCGAAAAAGACTTAAAATAAGAGAGAAGGTCACGTTAACGTGTTGTCATATTTGCTTCAGGTTATTTTGTTTTTGAGTGGTCTCACCAGGTTGTCCTGGAACTCTTGGGCTCAAGTAATCCTCCTGTCTCGGCCTCTTGAGCAGCTGGGACAAAGGCACATGCCACAGCATCTATTTCAGATCTTTTTTTTTTTTTTTTTAAATCTGTTTTTTGGGATTCCAGATACTTTGGAGGCGAAGGCAGGAGGATCGCAAGTTTAAGGGCAGCATCAGCAATTATGAAGACCCTGTCTCAAWATAAAAATAAAAAGGGCTGGGGGGCTGGGGCTGTCGTTCAGTGGTAGGGCACTTGCCTCGCACACATGAGGCACTGGGTTTGATCCTCAGTACCACATAAAAATAAATAAATAACACATAAAGGTTACAACTAAAAAAAAGGCGGCGGGTGGGGGATGGGCTGGAGATGCAGCTCAGGTGTAAAGTGCTCCTAAATGTAATTCCCGGCCACTACAAAACCAAAACAAAACCCCACCCACACCTCAGTGTTTGAGGGCTTGCCTAGCATGCACAGGAGGGCCCCGGGTATGATCCCAGCASTGTCAAACCCAACCAAACCCAACCCAATCTTCAGGGAGCTCATTCTCAGGCAAGGGGAGACAAACACACAAAGACTCCAAATAGATGGTGAGTGGGAAGCCAGCAGGGGAGGGCCTTAGGAGTGGGCCTGCTATTGCTTTCTTTTTTTTGGTTGTAGTACTGGGGTATTGGGATTGAACCCAGAGGCGCTTTACCACTAAGCCCTGTTTTCCCTTTTTATTTATTTATTTTGTGGTGTGCTTATCACTGAACTACATTCCTAGCCTATATTTTTTTTAATATATATTTTTTTTAGTTGCAGATGGACACAATATCTTTATTTTTATTTATTTCTTTTTATGTGGTGCTGAGGCTCGAACCCAGGGTCTCGTGCATGCAAGGCAAGCACTCTACCACTGAGCTACAACCCCAGCCCCCTAGCCCTGTTTTTACATTTATTATTTATTTGTTTGTTTTCCAGTACTGGGATTGAACCCAGGGGTGCTCAGTGGTATGATCTACATACACATCCAGCCCTTTTTCATTTACTTATTTATTTTGTTTTGTTTCTGTGGTGCTGGGGACTGAAACCAGTACCTTGTGCATGCTAGGCAAGCGCGCTACCACTTGAGCCACATCCCCAGCCCCTTCTTCCCCTTATTTYTTAAGACAGGGTCTCACTAACTTACTGAGGCTGGCCTCAAACTTTCGATATTCTGGCCTCATCCTCCTGAGTTGCAGAGATTACAAGTGCATGCCAACGCCACCATGCCTGGCTCAATATTTTTGAGATGGTAATCTCATTTTGTTGCCCAAGCTGGCCTTTAATTCCTGAACTTCAGGGATCCTCCCGAGGTAGCCTTCCAAGTAAATGGGACTACAAGTGCGTGCTCCTGGGCCTGGCTAAATCTGCCTTTTTAAATCAAGGATAGATCAGAGAGGTGTCATTTATCAAAACCAAGAAGGTTTTGAGGAGTTTGGTTAAGTGGAGGCCTGGGAATAGAATGTTCAAGGCCAATGCAAAGATCCTGAGGTAAGAATCCACGAGGTATGTTTAAGAAGGGGTGAAGTCATCTATCCCTGGATTGAGAGTTCTAAAACCAGCTGGCTCACAAGGTACAGACCTTGCCCGGGTCTATGTTCACATCTTGTTTTCGATTACTTCATTTAGTCCTTACTACATTTTATAGATGAGAAAAATGAGGCTCAGAGTGGATTAGTGGCTCAGCTAAAGTTACCCAGCTTATAAGATGTCTTGGGAATTGAAATCAGACCTAGGTCCCATCTCAGAGCTGGGCTGGAGACCTGGACATGGGAGGGTGGTCACCCTACTCAGGAAATGCAGAGAAGGCTGTAGCCCCTAGCCTGGCTGAAGAAGCTGGAGCAGGGATCAACTGTTCCTTCCCATGGATCTGGGCACCCTCCTACCTCCTGTATTCCCAAGAGAGGCATGGAAGCACCTTAGATGGAGGAGGACCCTGTATTCAGGTACTTGCCTGGGCTCCCCTGAGTAAGGAGCTGACTTGTCCTAGATACCTGTCCCTATCCCCTTAGGCTTCTGTAGTAATGGGCCTGGGCTCCCCTGGGTCCTGAGGGTACAGATATTCATGCCCCAGCCTTTTCCTGCCCTATGCCATCCCCGAGCCCTGCCCAGCTGTATGGGCAGGCTGGGCCACCTATCTAGCTCAATTTACCCGTTTTTATCTCAGTATACCTACTTAACTCCTTGCCCCTTAACATGATCAGATTGGGGCCAAGTTCGCTTCAGAGTTACCTAGAAAAGGGGTCAGTTTAAAAATCCAGATTCTCAGGCTCCACTCCACTGGTATTCACATTTGGGGGACCTAGAATCTGCACTGTTGACAAGAAGGGGGATTCGTCCCCCACTCCCCAGTTTTGGGGATTGAACCTGGGGGTGTTCTACCACTGAGCTACATTCCCAGCCCTTTTAATTTTGAGGCAGAGTCTCACTAAGTTGCTCAGGCTGGCCTTATGATCCTCCAGCCTCTGCCTCCTGAGTTGCTGGGATTACAGGTTATATACCACCATATCTAGCCCAAGTTCCACTTCAAAATGGAGCCAAAGGAAGGGTCAGGACTTGTCTAGAGTTAAAAAAAGGGGATCAGGGCTGGGGATGTGGCTCAAGTGGTAGTGTGCTTGCCTGGCATGCGTGCGGCCCGGGTTCGATCCTCAGCACCACATACAAACAAAGATGTTGTGTCCACCGAAAACTAAAGAATAAATATTAAAATTCTCTCTCTCTCTCTCTCTCTTTAAAAAAAAAGGGGGAGATCAAACAATTAACAGTAACCATGATAACAGTTAACACATACATGGCTCCTCCTATTTGCCTCGCATGTTCTAAGGATTTGACAAGTATTAATTCATTTAATCTTTACAACAACACCTCGAGGTAAATACTAGGATTAGCAGCATTTTGGGGGAAACTGAGGCAAAAAGTGCCTAACTGTAACCTGCTCCAGATGGCATACCTTCTAGATGATGGTGATGATATGAATTAACTTTGTAACACTCGTAAGAATGAGTGTTTTAAAGGCTGATGTCACTTGTGTTTGTGCCAGGGGAGCCTTTTGCATTGGGTCCTGAAGGATGAATATGAGTTCCTCAGAGGCTGAGGAAGGAATTCCAGACACACCATACAGCCAAGGCAAAAGCATGGTGGTGTGAGGTGCTCTGGTACACTGGGGAGGCCCAGTAGCAGGGCAGGGGCCAGAACCCAGGCTTCTGAGTTGGGCAAGGCGTGGTGGGCATTGGCCAGAAGCAGTCTGATTTTCTTCAATCCAGTCAGCTCTGTCCACAACTAGAGGCCCCTTGCCTTGGCCCATCTGTCTCAGCTTCCTCATCTGTGAAATTGGGATGGTATCATTTTCTTATTTCATATAATTGTTAAAGAGCATTAAATTAGTGGAAACCAGGAAACGGGTCCCCCCCACCTCTGGTGCTGAGGATGGAACCCAGGGCCCCCAGCATGCTAGGCRAGCACTGTCCCACTGAACCACATCCCCAGGCCCCAGGAAAGGATTTTGAGCAGTGCCTACCACACAGTAGGCACTTGAAAGCTTTGTTGGTATCAACTTTCCTTCCAGCTCCCTCTCCCGGTCCCAATTTCCAAAATGGGCTGAGCAAGGCTAAGTGTGGGTGGAAGTGGGCAGCCAGGTCCCTGTTGCTTGGCAACAGCCTCAGGGTCAGAGGTCAGCCCTTCCCCCTGCTCCCAGCTGGGAGGTTAGGGCCTCGCCCACCTGCCCCACCTAAAATTCTGGGACCTATCTCAGCACAGACCCTGGGCAGCTCATTCTCAGCCTGGAAGGTTATGCCTGGAGGCCACTGTCCAGATGAAAAAAGGAGGCCTGGGTGGATGGGGATAGTCAGAGAGTGGGGAGGTCTTCAGTTTTATTCAAACCCGATTCCCTTTGGAGGGAAGGACCTCCCTCCATCTCAGAAAAACCCAGATCCAATCTCAGGACACTACTGAACGCCACCTCTTGCCGGGTTCTTGTCTCTTTCTTTAGCTGATGCCACTCATAAGAATCCCTTGTGTTTGTGCCAAGGGAGCCTTTTGCATTGGGTCCTGAAGGATGGATAGGAGTTCCCCAGAGGCTGAGGAAGGAATTCCGGACTGATCACACAGCCAAGGCAAAAGCATGGTACTGTGAGGTGCTCTGATTCACTGGGGAATAAAGTAGTGCTCCGCGAAACTGAAAAAATGTAAACTTGGCAATCATCCGGCCAGTAGCATTGATGTGTACGCGCTCACGGGGGCTAAAGAGCTGTTCCAGTCAGAGCTCACCTGACTCTCGGGGAAGGGTTGTCCCATTATGTGAAGGTGCACGTTGCTCGTTCGTTGGATAGAGCTTTCTCCTAGTCCAGGAACAGGCACCGGACCCCTCCAAACTGCATCCCGGGTCGCCCACGCTGGAGACCCGGCTACCGGACTACAAGTCCCAGCAGGCCCCACGCGAAAGCGCATGCGCAACGAGCGTCCCTTCGCGAGCCTGGCCGAGCCCGGGGGCCCAGTTCTCCCCCATTGTCTGGCCGGCAGGGGCGGGGCGGATGGCACGATTGGAGCGCTCATTGGTCGAGCTGGACGTCCTTCTTGTCCCGCGACCCCCCCCACCCCGTGCAGGTCCCGCCCCGCGCGCCCGCGCCCCGGCCGCCTGGCGCCCCGCCCGCACCTCAGGACCGGCGGGGCTGCGCGGCGCATCCTGCGGGTGGCGGCGGCGGGCGCGGCGCCGGCGGCCGGGCGCAAGATGATGAAGTTTCGGTTCCGGCGGCAAGGCGCCGATCCGCAGCGCGAAAAGCTCAAGCAGGAACTCTTCGCCTTCCACAAGGTGCTGTGGCGGCCGGGCCGGAGCGGGAGGGGGCGGGTCGGGGGCCCGGGCCGGGGGCCGGGGGCCGGAGCCACGTCGGGCCCGGGGGGAAGGGGCGGCCGACTGGCGCGCGGCGGGGCCGGGCCCGGAGCCCCTCGGCGGGCCCTGTTCCTCGCGTCCTCGCCTTCGCGCTCGGACTCGCGTGGGTCTGGGTCTCGGCGACTTTGGTGCCGTCTTTTCAGCCCTCCGTGGGCCTCACCGCCCTGGCCCTGCACGGCTCTGGCTGTGCAGGTCTCCGGGTCTTTCTGTCTCAGTGCATCTCTGTAGGTCCCTGACCCTCCATCTCCGTCTGTGACCGTCGCCCTCAGTCTGTGCCTGTGTGTTGGGGGAGGAGGCGTCTCTGCCTCTGACCCTCTGTCCCTCTTCTCTTTCCCTGTATCTTTCGGCGTCTCCTTTCCTTCCTTCTCTCCCTGCGTCTCTGAGTCTTTGCCTGTCTCTCCCTGAATGTCGCTCTCCGTCTCTGTGGGGATCTCTGAATCTCTTACTGTACTTCTAATCCTCTCTCTCTCTCTCTCTCTCTTTTGATGTCCCCTGCTTGGCCCTTGGACAAGCCAGGGCCGGGTTTTGTTTTGCTTTCGCACCCGGGCCAGCAGGAGAGGTGAGGGGTGGAGGCCGAAGTGGGGGGTGGGGCTGGGAAATCCCTTCGGAGCCTTCCCCTCCCTTCCCCCACCTCCTGAGGCTCTGCTCTGCCTTACCCGGGGCTGAGTGAATCCGGGTGACGTGCTGGACTGTGTACCCAACTGCACTTAAAATTGTGGTGCCTTGGTCTAATCAGCTATGAAATGGGTTCACTGGCAGTGGGCTCTGGCTCCCTATGCCACATGGGCTATCCTGTCACTTTGTAGAACTTGGGAGGGAAAGTGGAGGACTGGTCTTTCTTTCTCTGGGTGGGATGGAAGGGGCCCTGGGAAAGTCCTCAATCTCCTGACACCCCTACACTGATAGGAGGTAAATAGGGTGAGGCCCCAGCCTGCCTCTTGCTAATTCCTCCTGGGTGGTTGRGGGTGGTTTGTACCTCAGTTTTACCATAAAGCCTTCTCTCTGCTGTTTGGAATTAGATTTGTTATCTCCATCACACACTGAGGGTGAAAATTGGGATTCAGTGGGGAAGTGAGGACTTGTCTGAAGTCACAGAGCAAGCTGAGCCACTTTGTCTCCCTTGATTTCCTCCATAGTAAGATTGGGCTTTAGCCTTAGGGGAAGGGGTTTTGGAGGGGCTGCTATGATCCTGAGCCAGGCCAGGTTCCCAGGGTTGCCTGGAAGAGACTTGCCACCAGGAGATTTGTCAYCCTGGAAGCTCTGGGATGTCTTAGGGCTCGAAGTTTTACCTGCTGAGATCCTATGTAGTGGTGATGGGGCTGCCCAGGATCCTCAGACTTGGTGACTGAGACCTATCAGTGATCCAAGAGAGGAGAGAGACTGGTGCTGAGGGGCCCCCAGATCCCACCCCTTCTTTCCTGTGCTGGGGTGGCTGTGAGGGTGGGAGGATAATAGACCTTCCAGGAAAGGGGGGACAGGCACTGGGCTAAATGTCACTCTCGCAGTTGGTAAATTGGGGTGTGCAATAAGAACTTGAGACTGATAGAGTGAGACTCAGACTCAGCTCACACTAGTTAGCCCTAGGCTTTCAGGAGGTGAGGTGAAGCCCTTATTCTAAGTGGGCAGCAGTGGTGGGAGGGAGTGGTCTTAGGAAAGGGGTATGATTACCAAAGGGGGTGATAGGTGATCCGTAAGGGAACAGGCCCCAGATTTGTGAGTTTGGGGGAGCTTATTAGTTTGGATGAACATRAACTTTGGACTCTGGGTCTTGGATTCAGATCTCGGCCCAACTCACAAGTTGACTGTGGAATGTGTGTTTCATGTCAGTTTAATACTGGGTCCCTACTTCTTTTTGTTGGGAACACAGCGGAGACCAAAAGAGACAAATGTCTTTTCTCTTGGGGCTCATGCACTCACTGGAAAGAAAACCAAAAGAAAAAAGTTAAGTAGGTAATAGTTCATACCATGACCAGTGCTGTGGTAAAATAAAGCAGGGGGAGACTGTGGGAAGTGTAGACCAGGATGCTTCTGCAGCCATGGACATTTAGGGAGGCCTCTGAGTGATGGGAAGGAGCCTGTCATGGGAGGGCTGCATGAAGCCTGTTCAGTGCTGAGGGACAGTAGATGCAAAGACTCARGTAGGAATGAACCTAGTGAACTGGAGGAAAGCAAAAGAGTATTGGACCAGGAGTCAGGTAGCTGGGAGAAGCTTACAGAGGGGAATGAGGTGATGAGGACTTGACTTTGACTTTGGGTGAGCTGGGAACCCCTGGAAGGTCTTGTGCAGAGGAGGGACAAGGAGATGATTTTCACAGGCATCTTCTGGTTTCTTTGTGGGGGTGGGGAACAGTCTGCAATGAGTGCTAGTCCAGGCAGGTGTGGTCTGAGGCATGGGGCAGATAGGGGCTGTAGAATGTGGGAAGGGTGACCGCTGTGTGCGTGTTGAAGCTGAGCTAACGGAGCTCAGGAATGGATTGGACGTGGGGTATGAAGGATGAAAATGATAGACAAGTGACCTAGTCTCCTCTCTTCTTAAACGAGAAAACTCAAGACTGTGGGAATTTTTGAAGCAGATATCGTATGTACCTGACTGCTGACTGCTAGGCTGTAACCTGGGACTGGCTAGACAAAGATCAGGTCCAGCAAGGGCATGCCAGAGGACTTTCTAATCAAATGGGCAACTTAGCCCTTGGGTGGGCTTGCCSTTTCCAGTGCCATTGGGAAATGGGCTTGGTGAGTATTATGACAGGTGATAGCCAGGCTGTAGCCAAGCCAGCTGCCCAGAGGGCTCAGTTCCCTCGTGGATGGGCTGAGGCTGGAGTGACAGGCAGGCTAGGAATGGGGTGTCTTAGGAATGTGTGTCTTCCTGAGGTGGTGGCCCACATTGGGCATCCCAGAGTGGTATTCAGAATGGGGCTGGGGCCCAGGTGTGCTGGTTCCCTGGGGAGGCCCTCCCAGCTAGGCTTTGGGGGCTGAGTRAGAGCTCTTGCGGTTGGGGTAGGCAAATGGAGAGAAGCATAGCTTGGCCAAAGGAAAGAACATGCATGGGAGCCTGGTGGGTGGGGAAGGGGCTGCACTGTGTTGGGATTGGCCCTACAGGGAGCTGAGCACTGGGTGGCTAGCAGTGCCATTAACACTGGGACAGTATACAAGTTGCCTTAAAGTCCTCCCCAGCATTGATGGGACTGGTACTCATGTTGCCTGGCTGTTTCCAGGTGGGCATGTGGGGTGACACCCTCAGGATTTGGACAGAAAGCTGACAGGGCCTCAGTCTTCCTGCGTTTGGAGGGAGTGAGAAGCCTTTGCCTAGATGTCCTGGGTGTTGAACTTGACCTCTGACCACCATGTAAGATCTGTGTTTGGGGAGTGCCACAGACTTCATATGGGACCCCTGGCAGTATAGCACCTCACCAGCTTCAGTTTGTGCCTCTAAGAAGGGGTGCACAATCCCCATGGGGCAGGTAGGATCTTTTTAATTCCTGTGCTTCTTTGAGCCTTGTTCTCTGTTGCTAGAATCTTGTGTACAGTGTGTCAACATGGGCATTGAAGGGAACAGGGGCTTGGCAAAGAGGGGGCCTACATGTGTCATGCATACAGCAAGGTCATGGTAGAGCCTGGGGACTCAGCCGATTCCTGTGTACTGGAGGTACAGAAAGTAGAAGGACCTGGCTCTTGATCCCCGTGTAGCAGCAGCAGAGTCGGAAGYTGCCTTGGGGTGGGCTTCAGGGTGTGTACACCCCAGCAGCCCTCTTCTTCCCTACAGACTGTGGAGCATGGCTTCCCCAACCAGCCCAGCGCCCTGGCCTTCGACCCTGAACTTCGCATTATGGCAATTGGCACCAGGTCTGGAGCTGTCAAAATGTATCCTTTGCAGCTGTGGTGTTCAGGGCCTGTTCAGGACCACCTGTATGCATATCCCTGTTACTGGGGTTCCAGCCTTGGCAGGTACTTTGTGGAGGCCCCAGTGGGTTCTGGGATATTGGAGCAGGTTGGTACTGTCTGTATGTCTGACAGGCCTGGGACAACTCTTCCTGGAGACTACGGTGTACTTTTGCTGGTAGACTGAGTGTATGGCGATGGGAGGGGTTGGTTTGCAGTGGCCACAGCTGTCCCTTGSTGCTTTTGAGCCAGCCAGTTTCCTAGGCGACCCTGCCATCATCCCAGCAACTGTGACTGGGGAGAACAGAGCAGGAGTCTGGGCCATGATCGCAATGAAGGTGGTGGATGGGCTGGGGAGAGGGTCTGTTGAGTGGGTACACACGTGTGTTTGAATTTGAAGACGTGTGTTCAGCCAAGAGGGGAGGGGCAGTGCCAGGCTGGGCATGGTGAGCATAGCACGGCCCCCACCTGGATCCTGGCGGGTGCACAATGGGCCATGTGAGCTGTACAAAGCGGGCATTTTCCTTGCAGGCCAGGGTGGGGGGGGTAGTGGGAGGCAGCTGACTGCCTCCTTGCCTGCCCTACAGAATCCCACCCCAACTGCTCTTCAGGAAACTGAGGTATAAGTCTGGCCAGCGACTGCTTCATGAGGGTGCCAGTGACTGCCCCTCTGTAGGTGGTGCTCTGGGTCTCAGTACCCTGATGGTAGACATTGGTCGGCAGAAAATAAGCCGGTGCCTAGAAGGGGGAGGGTGTGGGGGGGTCTCCTCACCCCCGGGCTGGGAACACTGGCCAAGTAGGGAAGTATCTGGGCCTTTGTGAGCTATTTGCTGGCTCTGTGGAGTGTGGCTGGGCTGAGATGCCCCCTGCTTTCTCAAGGGCCTTTGCCTGCTGCCCACACCTCTTGTGGTCTCTTTCTCCGTGTCCCACGGGCTTTCACCATATCTCATAGCACCTGTATAGGCTTTGCTGTTAGCTCTGGAGCTCTCTCTCCTGTGGCTGATCTCTTGTGCGTTGGCTCCTCATGGTCACAGTGAACCTGAAATACAGATGAGGACATGAGCTTCAGAGGAGGCCAGGCCCAGGGATTCTCCTTTGCTTCCCTCCTTCTAAATCACCGTAGCCTGGAGTTTCCTGGGGTCAGGAAACTGAGGCTGGAGAGGGCCAACTGTGGTCTTAGAAGCTGCCCCTCCCCCTGCAGGGCAGTCTCCATCTCCTTGGCGACCCTGCTTCCCGCCCAGCTGCTCTTGCTCCCTCTTTTGTCCTCTTCTCTGTCCCAGCCAGGCTCCTGCAGAGAATCCCAGCTCAAGCTCCAGGCAACGGCTCCTGCCTTGTCACTGGGGCAACACTGCTGACCCCTCCCTAAACCCTCTCTCTTGAGCCCTCTCAGGCCTTGCCATCCACCCACCATCAACCCTAGAGTTATTGGGACTCTAGGCACTGACACGGGGCATTTCAAGCATTTCACGTGTGTCCGTGTGCTCATCTGTAAAATGGGCAGTCTGGGGTCTCTGCTCTTGTGCAGTGGGGGCTGTTGGCCACTTGCCCTGGAGGGAAGTGGATTTCTTTGCCCAGAGCTGGCGATGGGCCTGCAGCTCTGGTAAAAGGCAGCCTGGACTCTGCTCTGGGATTCCCTGTTTGGGCCTGACCTTGTGTCTCTGGCCTGTAAGATCCCAACCCACCAGGCTCTCGGCCTTCATAGGCACATACAAATATTTGAGGTTGAAATAGAGCAGAACCCCAGCTGTGTGCCAGGTCTGGACCAAGCATGCTRGGCGAGATTTTATTCTCACTTGATTTGCAGCTGCCCTGAAAGGTGCCACTAGCCCATTTTTACAGATGAGGAAATTAAGACCYCAAAGCAATACTGACTTGCAGCAGCTGCATGGAGCCTCTGAGCCTAGGAAAACCTTGGGAATGCAGGATTGAAGCTTCTTCAAGGAAGGGGGCCTCACTGGGTCTTGGAACYTCCAGTAGGTAGGTCTCAGGCAAAACCCATGAAAATTATCCTGGGGAAGGCGGCTTGTGCATAAGGTTTTCTGGCCTGTGCCTGCATGATTCTGTCCTTGACCAGTCACCCTCAGCTATGGTGCACCCGGTGTGGAATTCACGGGCCTGCACCGGGATGCGGCCACTGTCACTCAGATGCACTTCCTGCCCGGTCAGGTGAGCTTCTGCTCCCTATCAGCCAGCTCCTTGTGGTTCCCATGCCCTCCCATTTCTCTAGGCCAACCCAGTTTTGGTCTCTGCTTGCACCCCACAGGGCCGCCTCCTAACCCTGCTAGATGACAGCAGTCTGCATCTCTGGGAAATCGTCCATCATAATGGATGTGCCCACCTGGAGGAAGCACTCAGTTTCCAGCTGCCCAGCCGGCCTGGCTTTGATGGTGCCAGGTACTGGAGGATCCCTGAGCAGGGGAATATCCTGGGGAGGCCTGGGAGCTAACTGTGCCAAGGTGTGGAGAGACGGGCATGCCAGAAGGGCTGTTCTTTGGGGTGGGGGGTATGTTTGAGTCTGGCCCTGGGAGGACCCTGCTTGGCTAAGTTGTGCTCTGGACTTCTCAAATTAGATGGGAGGTTCTGGTGGAGTTTGAGGCAAGCAGGCAGGGTTTGTGCTACTGACTGGGAATCTTTGGTGGCCATGAGCCCCAGGAGATACTGTGTTATATGCCAAACTTCATGGGCCTGTGGTGTGACACTGCACTCCCTGTGGTGTTGGGGGTTTCTGGGGCTTGGAACAGGGTTTCAGACAAGCAGAGGTCCCCTGACCCCTTGAGTTGGGAGTAGGAGATAAGCCATTGTGTGCATGGGTGAACAAACAGGATTGGGGACAGGAGGGTCCCACAGGTATAGTAGGTGTTGGCAGGATGCTCCAGATATAACACAATGGGCCTGGCCCTCTCCCTCCCCGTCCCTGCCCATAATGGCTAGAGTGGAGGATTCCTGATCCACGGGCTGGTTTTTGGGCAGCCCTCGCCTCTGTAGGTAAGGGCCATTTGGCGCTCCTTCAAAGTCAGGAGGCATCCAGAGAGCTGGTAAAAGGATTTCTGGGTGGGGATCAGGATGGCTGTGTTAGTCCTGGAGCTGGAGCTCCTGGTCATCATTGGGGCGATGCCCCGGTGCCTGAGTTTGCTTCCCAGTGGTGGGAGGAGCCAGGAGTTCTCAGAGACTTGGGAAACCTATTTTTATCCCTCTTCCTGCCTGATGAATAATTGAGCAGGCTAATTACACTGCAGTGTCGCCTTCCCGAGGTGCCATCCTGCTCTGTAAGAAGGCCCTGGTGAGCGCATAGGGACTGGGTAGGAGTGGCAGTAAGTCCCAGCCCTCTCCACATCCTCTTCAGCAAATGGTTGGGCTCACTCCCTTACCCTTATCCTCTGCAGCACCCCGTCCAGCCTCACCCGTATCACAGTGGTTCTGCTGATGGCCGCTGGCAACACGGCAGCTCTGGGCACTGAGGGAGGTAGCATCTACTTCCTGGATGTCACTACCCTGGCACTGCTTGAGAGGCAGACCCTCAGCCCAGATGAGGTTCTGCGCAGGTGAGCCATAGGCAGGCTGCCCAGCACCCACTCTGACTGGAAACTTCTCCCAATTCACTGGGGCTCCTTCTGTAGTGTGCCAGACGACTACCGCTGTGGAAAGGCTCTGGGCCCTGTGGAGTCACTCCAGGGACACCTCCGGGACCCCACCAAGATTCTTATTGGCTACAGCCGGGGCCTGCTGGTCATCTGGAACCAGGCTGCACAGTGTGTTGACCACGTCTTCCTGGGGAACCAGGTAGGGGTGAGGCTTGCCCTCTGTTAGTCTGGGCCCATGCACACACCCACAGGCTCATGCCTGTCTGCCTCCATTACAGCAGTTGGAGAGTCTTTGTTGGGGGCGCAACAGTGGTACCATCATCAGTTCGCACAGTGATGGCAGCTATGCCATCTGGCCCGTGGACATTGGCGGCTCCCCAACTCTACAGCCCTCCGTAGCCACCATTCCCTATGGTGAGTGCTGGGGCGGCCTGAGGCAGAGGGTGGCGTCTAGAGGGCCACTTGGCCTTGGTGGGGGGCAGTAACCAGCCAGATCTGCAAAGGGAGACCCCCTGGGGGGATAGTTGGGGTGATGTTGCTTTCCCCTGGGGAGAGGCAGGAGGAAGCTTCAAGGTAGACCAGGAATGGGAGGTCTGACACTGTCCCAACCCCCCAGGCCCCTTTCCCTGCAAGGCCATCAACAAGATTCTGTGGCGGAACTGTGAATCGGGGTATGTTGAGGGAGTGTGTGGGTGGGGGGTTGCACCTGGCTTGGGGGAAGGGTGGGCTCTGGGTCAACAGGTRAAGCCCTTGCTGGGTTGTGCAGTGTGTGTTCCAAGGCCTCTAGTTCACGTGACCTTCCTTGCAGGGGCCACTTCATCATCTTCAGTGGTGGTATGCCCCGCGCCAGCTATGGTGACCGCCACTGTGTGAGTGTGCTGCGAGCTGAGACGCTGGTGACGTTGGACTTCACCTCCCGCATCATTGACTTCTTCACAGTGCACAGCACACGGCCTGAGGATGGTGTGTGCCCTACCTTTCCCAACCCCGCCAAACACTGCCTGTGGCTGAGCTCACCCTGCTCTATCCCACAGAATTCGATGACCCACAGGCTCTGGCTGTGCTTCTGGAAGAGGAACTGGTGGTGCTTGACCTGCAGACACCTGGCTGGCCATCTGTGCCTGCCCCTTACCTGGCCCCGTTGCACTCATCGGCCATCACCTGCTCTGCCCATGTTGCTAATGTCCCTGCCAAGCTGTGGGCCCGCATCGTGAGTGCTGGCGAGCAGCAGAGCCCCCAGCTCATCTCCAGTGCCTCGGTGGGTGCCCAGGTGTCCTGTGGGTGAGGTGTTATGGAGGGAGTGTGTTCCTGTTGGAGTGCTGGGCCCAGGCCTGAAGGTGGGGATGTGGGGAAATGCTGAATTGTATGCCCAGGGGGAGGGGGAGGTGTCTTTGGTCCTGACCTTGTGTTCACATCTTTACTGTCCTTTCCTAGAGCTGGCCCATTACTGGGGGCCGGAACCTGGCCCAGGAGCCATCACAGCGAGGGCTGCTGCTGACTGGGTAGGTGTTAGGGATGTGCATTGAGCAAAATCCTGTATCCACCAGGCCTGGCATGCCCCTTGCCCATCCCAGATCCTGCAGGAACTGAGATGCCAGGTGACTCAGTGCTGGCTGTAGCAGGCCCAGTTGTCCCCCCTTGCCTGGGGTGGATTGGATGAAGCCTCCCTGGATCCTGGCTCAGGGCTCCACCCTACTCTGCCTTTGGCCTGGAACTCAGCTCCAGCAAACCCCAAGGCTCCACCCACCTGGCCTGCCTGCCTTGGGACCGGAAAATCTGGGCCGGCCCACGCCAAGTTGCCCAAGGCAGGTGCTACAGAGCCTGACCTGGGCCTGGCGGGCACTGACGTGCCTGGTGACTCAGGCCTTACTTCCTGTCCTGCCCTTTCCTCCTGCCTGTGGTGGAACCCTCCAACCTCCGACAGCAGCAAGCCTTCCATAGCTTAAGAATTTACTGTGTTTTTCGGGCTCCAGCCCTGTCTACACACACGTCATGCCCTGACTCTGGGCTCCCCTACTGCCCAGGGACCTCACTTGGGCTCTACAGCGTGTCCTGAAGCTGTGCCCTAGATTTGTCTGCTCCTCCCCCAGCCCCTGCCTGCTTCCTTCTTGCCTCCCCAGTCTTACTGCTGTTCTGCTTATGTGGCTACCTTGGGCCTCAGCTGGTCTCTCCTGGGCTTCCCTGTACTCTTTTCTGTGACTGCCTGKCTCCTGGTCACTGTGTCCTTTCTGATTGCTGGGTAACTCCAATCGGAAAGAATTGACCTAGTCTTCTATTCTTGCATTTTGCCCTCCGCCATCTCCTGGTCTTCATGGTCATCATTACCACACCTTCCCACCCTGTTCAAAGGGCCCAGGTGCATGTGATAGAAGTAGCTTGGCCTACATTTACCAAGTACCTGTTTGCCTTATCTGATAGAAGCTTAATGTGTGTCCCATGCTCTCAACCTGTATTTGGTATATGTAGTAGGTGCTCAGTGAATAGCTGATGGACTCATGGAAGAAGGGGTATGCAGGCCTCCCAGGGATGGTCCTGACATCTGCCCTCCCTTTAGCCATGAGGATGGCACTGTGCGGTTCTGGGATGCATCTGGTGTGGCGCTGCGGCCGCTCTACAAGCTGAGCACAGCTGGCCTCTTCCAGACAGACTGTGAACATACCGACAGCCTAGGCCAGGCTGCTGAGGACGACTGGCCACCCTTTCGCAAGGTGAGACTCCTCCCCTCATGGAGCCTGTCCTGGCTCTGCCCAGTGTCTTCATTCCCTCCTGTCCCCTCAGGTGGGCTGCTTTGACCCCTACAGTGATGATCCSCGGCTTGGTGTGCAGAAGGTTGCGCTCTGCAAGTACACAGCTCAGATGGTGGTGGCTGGCACGGCAGGCCAGGTAAGGCTGATGTCCCCAAGTTGGGCATGACAGGGGAGCTTCCTAGAAGAGGTGGGCCTGAAATGAAGAGTCTGGTAGTGGGTGGGAATGGGGCCTAGCTGGGGCTGGCTGGAATGAGGACAGGTACCAAGTGGGATCTGTCACTGGGTGCCTTGAGTGAGGCTCTGGCAGGGAAACCATGGAGGTTTAGGTATGGGAGCAGGAATGTGAGAGTCAAATGAACCCTGGGAGCGCAAGGACCAGTGGATCAGGCAATGCTATGCCTCTGGCACTTACACAATATACAGAAGRTACTCAGTATGAGCTTATTCCATGAGACAGAGACTTGGGGAAAAGGGAGGGCACTTCATTCTAAGAGAGACGGACCAGTGGGACTTGGTCAGTGCCATATCCTTAGTATTTGCACAGTATATAGAAGGTGCTTAATGTGTGCTTATTGCTAAATGAAAGATAGGCTCAGGTAAGATTGAATCATCTGTCTGTGAGGTAAGGTATCAGGGGCTGGGGATGTGGCTTAAGTGGTAACACGGTCGCCTGGCATGCGTGCGGCCCGGGTTCGATCCTCAGCACCACATACCAACAAAGATGTTGTGTCTGCTGAGGACTAAAAAGTAAATATTAAAAATTCTAAAAAAAAAAAAAAAAAAAGAAGGTATCAGTTTTGGTGTCCACTATGTTCCTTGATGCTCAGGTAGGGCTTTGGTGTACAGGAAGCATTCAAAGAGTACTTATCCTGCTGGGTTTGGTGGTGCACACCTGTAATCCCAGCCACTCAGGAGGCTGAGTCAGGAGCATTGTAAGTTCAAAGTCAACCTCAGCAACCTAGTGAGACCCTGTCAAAAAAAATTTTTTTTTTTTTTAAAGGGCTGGGATGTTGCTCGGTGGTTAGCACCTTTGGGTTCAATCCCCTGTATAAAAAAAAAAAAAAAAGAGTACTTATCCTGAGGCTGCAGGCTGGGGTGGGGCCAGGGGCACCCTGCTCTGTACTGATTCCTCCCTGCCCTGGCTGGGGCTTAGGTGCTGGTGCTCGAGCTCAGCGATGTGCCGACAGAGCAGGCAGTTAGTGTGGCCAGTATAGACCTCCTCCAGGATCGAGAAGGCTTCACGTGGAAGGGCCACGAGCGGCTGAGCCCACGTACAGGGCCACTGCCTTGGCCTGCTGGCTTCCAGCCCCGTGTGCTAGTACAGTGCCTGCCACCTGCTGCTGTCACCGCCATCACACTCCACGCCGAATGGAGCCTTGTAGCCTTTGGCACCAGCCACGGTTTTGGCCTCTTTGACTACCAGCGCAAGAGCCCAGTGCTGGCCAGGTGTGTGGGGAGGTCAGGTGGATGGGCGGCTGGAGTCCCAGTGAGATGAGATCTGGGTCTGAGTCCCCCTTTCTGAAGTTTGGTATGGCCAAAGCAGGCTGGTTTTAAAAGTCCTGGGAACCCCTGTGGCCCTGTGAGAAATCACTGGCAGCTCTGAGGGACACCCTAAGCACCAGCAGCTGTTGGGACCACAAGGCAGTGCCAGAGAGGCTTTGACCTCCTGAGCTGGGGTCTGCAGTGCTGGCCTTGGGGCCAGCAGGAATGGCTGCTCCTTGCATGACTGGCTCCTATCTRTCCCCAGGTGTACTCTTCATCCCAATGACTCCCTGGCCATGGAGGGGCCACTGTCCCGGGTGAAGTCCCTTAAGAAGTCACTGCGCCAGTCTTTCCGGCGTATCCGCAAGAGCCGTGTCTCAGGCAAGAAGCGTATGGCTAATGYCAACAGCAAGGTGAGTGGGGTGGGCTGCCTGGGAGCTGTCCTCTGGCCCGGAGCCCYGGGGTTCCTGCACTCACTGTGCTCCCTGTGCAGCCCCCTGCACGAGTGGAGTGGGCTAGAAATGTGGAGGATGGGTGATGATCAGTGTCAGGCAAGCAGAATGAGAGCAGCTGGGAATCAGAGAGACCACKTTCAGGAGCCCCTGCTCCTTCTAGTTGCAGGAGGCCAATGCACAGCTGGCCGAACAGGCCTGTCCCCATGATGTTGAGATGACACCCGTGCAGCGCCGAATCGAGCCCCGCTCTGCTGATGATTCCCTCTCTGGTGTCGTGCGCTGCCTCTACTTTGCTGACACATTCCTTCGAGATGGTGAGGCCAGTGCCSGGTCGGGGATTGGAGAGGCTGGCTTCAGTTGTTTATCTAGGAAACRGGTGGGGGGAAGCAGTGGGACCAGGCCTTCCAGGACATCGGAGAGTATCACTGAACATCCACTGTGCGGGGCTGCACTGGTGATGGGGACACCCTGGCTACCGTACAGCCCCACCTGCCAGCTGGGGCTGATGGTGAGGTATTGCTAGTGATCTGGGCAGACCCCGCAGACTTGAGCAAGAAGGGTAACTGCTGGGAGTGGTGGTGGACACCTGTAATCCCAGCAGATTAGGAGGCTGAGGCAGGAGGACTTCGAATTCAAAGCCAGCCTCAGCAATTTAGTGAGGACCTAAGCAACTCATCAAGACCCTGTCTCCAAATAAAATATAAAAAAGGACTGGGAATATGGCTCAGTGGTTGAGGCCCCTGGGTTCAATCCCCAGTACACCCCTCCCTGGCCCCCAAAAAGAAGCAGCCAGCACCTCTCATCCTAGCAAGTGAGGAGGAGGAGCGGGATTGCAAGTTGGAGGCCAGCCTGGGCAACTTTGTGAGACCTTGTCTCAAAATTTAAAAAGGACAGGGGATGCAGCTCAGTGGTAGAGGGCCCCTGGGTTCTGTCCCCAGTGTTGGGAAGAAAAAAAAGAAAAGGGATCCCATGGTCTGAGATCCAGTGAGGGACAGGCTGGTGCCAAGGGCCTACGACTGTGGGTAGGAGCCACGGAGCCACAGGGCTAGGGTGAGTTGAGTGAGGGCAGAGAAGGGAGAGGCTCAGATTGCTCTATATTGGCCACCATGCCAGTGTGCTGAGGACATGGCTTTGTCTGGGTGGCTTGGAGCCCCTATAAGGTCCTGGGTATATTGGTTTGTTCTTTGATCTTTACAAACACAAAAATGGGAGTACATCATCCCATGCACCTCACCCACCATCAGCAGGTGTGTACTTCTGTTTTATGCTACCCCACGCTGCTGTTGAATCTTGCTGAAGTTTTTAAACAGAAACCCAGGCACAACCCTGCTGCCCATTCATGTCCCATGGAACCCAGGCTATTCCCAAGTCTCAGTTCATGTTCAGGTTGGGTCTCCTCTTTCTGATATCATTTAATTTTGGAGGATCTTTGTCCAGTAGGTTTCCCATTGGACGTGGCTGATACAGCCTTGGGGTTTGACTGTTCCACGTCCTGCTCTGGGCTCCTGCCTTGCAGCTAACAAGCTTCATTGCTGGGACTTTTCACCTGGGGCTGGGCTCCYGGTGGCTGTTGCTCTGGTGCCTCGGTTCTCAAGGATGCAGAGTGGCAGATGTCCGTGCCTGCCCTGACCCCTGCCTTGTGTGGCTCTGATTCTCCACTCAGTTCACACATGGCAGCAGGGGATGGGTTCCTGGGTGAGAGCCCTGGTTCATTTCTTCCCAGGCCCAGGGTTCTTTGGTAAAGGCACCCTTTGGTCACCATGTGGGGAACAAGCTACATAGGGAGAGGAGGGCCAGTGTGCACCTGCACGGTGAGCCTGATAACTAGTGTGTGGACAGAATCAGTTATGGGTAGTAGGGGGAGATGGCTTGTGGRGCTTGGGGCATGAGTGACAGGAAGGAGGGTACAGCAAGAAGGGTTGGCAAGATCAGGGTGTAGTTTGGGGGCCACTGAAGTCCTCATGCRGGTGCTCTTAAGTAGCTTGTGCCTCTGCACAAGGGCTACATCCAGGGCTGGGACTTGAGTCAGCTGCAGAGCTGGCCTCTCAGGCCACGCAGTAGGTTAGGTTGAGGTTACCTGGGGAGGTAAGGGACAGGAGGTGCAGGAGAGGTGGGGAAGGACCTGCAGGGAGTGCCTTCCTCACTGTGTCTGTGCCCTGCAGCAGCCCACCATGGGCCCACCATGTGGGCAGGCACGAACTCGGGCTCCGTGTTTGCTTATGCGCTGGAGGTGCCAGCTGCTGTGGCAGGTGGTGAGAAGCGGCCTGAACGGGCAGTGGAGGCTGTGCTGGGCAAGGAGGTGCAACTGATGCATCGGGCACCTGTGGTGGCCATCGCTGTGCTGGATGGGCGTGGTCGCCCRCTGCCTGAGCCCTACGAGGCCTCTCGGGACCTGGCACAGGCACCTGATATGCAGGGTGGGCATGCTGTGCTCATCGCCTCTGAGGAACAATTCAAGGTGAGCTGCTGGAGCTGTGGAGACTCTCCTGTAGAGCCCCATCCCTACCTCCATCCTCTGCCTGCTGAGACCTTCCAAATCCTGCCCCATCACAGTGCCCCCAGCCAGCCCCTGTGGAATCTTGATGCCCAAACCTGCTGAGCTCCCCCCACGACCTGCTCACCACAAGGCTCTAGGCATGGTGGGGACCCCTTGAGTCCAGTCCCAGGGGTTTATGATTTGGTAGGGATACCAGACAGAGCTTTAGGAGTCATGTGGCCGATGTGGCCACTAAAGGAGGCCAGAGGTTTCTGGACACAGTGAAGCCCAGGTTGGGTCTGCAGGAGGAGGGGGTGGCTGGCTAAGCAGGGTGGCAGTGTGGCCAGCTGAGGCCTTTGGGGTGAGCTGGGGGCTGGTGGTCTGCAACCATGAGTGAGTAAGGGGTCTGAGGACTGGGCCAGGCCCTGCTCACTGGCCATCTGCCACCAGGTGTTCACACTGCCTAAGGTGAGTGCCAAGACGAAGTTCAAGCTGACAGCCCAYGAGGGCTGTCGTGTACGCAAGGTGGCTCTGGCCACATTTGCCAGTGTGGCCTGTGAGGACTATGCCGAGACCTGCCTGGCCTGCCTCACAAACCTGGGTGATGTGCACGTGTTTTCGGTGCCTGGCCTGCGGCCCCAGGTGCAGTACTCCTGCATCCGGAAGGAGGACATCAGCGGCATTGCCTCATGTGTCTTCACGCGCCATGGCCAAGGTGAGCCAGAGTGGCCAGGAAGAAAAGGGACCTGAGTGGGGCCAGGGGACTACCTGGGAATGGTCAGCCTGAAGGCCTGCCGGCACAGACTGGAGCAGGGAACCCRTAGAAGGCTGGGACTCATCACGGCTCCTAAGCGCACTCCCTCCTCTCTCCTCCACACAGGCTTTTACCTGATCTCACCATCAGAATTTGAACGCTTCTCCCTGAGTGCCCGCAACATCACAGAGCCACTTTGCTCTCTGGACATCAGCTGGCCCCGTGATGCCACCCGGGCCAGGTAATGTGGGGAGGCAGCCCCTGGCAGGGTGCCTCTAGACCAGAGCCAGGTCTCACCCAACTCTGGGAACTGTCCTGGCTGGTGTCAGGCCTCAGGCTCGGGCAGGAAGGCAGGTATGCAGCATTGCCGTGGTCCATATCACGACCCCATYTGTGCCCTAGGGTCCAAGAGTCACCCAAGCTGAGCCAGGCTAATGGGAACCCAAGCATCATCCTGGCTCCACAGAGTCGTGATGGAAGTCCTGATCCTGCCCTCAAGGGAGCTGGTGAGTGGGGCATGAAAGGGGACCCGTCACTCCTAGAGAAGGGTGGTGCTGTCTGTAGGCAGGCTTCTGCGGGAGGGGACARCTGACCCAGGGCTGGAAGCTGGGAGGGCTGGGTGGGTGTGTGCCTGTCGAGGCGACAACCCCTGTAGGCTGCATTGATTAAGAGTCTGTTCCCTGTGGAGAGGGTGTAGAGAGGTCCTGGCAGGGGCTGATCACTTCCTCCCGCAGACACCCCAGAGCCACCTGAGTCCACTCTCTCACCCATGTCCATCGACTCAGCCACCAGTGCCGACACCACTCTGGACACAACAGGGGATGTCACAGTGGAGGATGTGAAGGATTTTCTGGGGTGAGGCCAGCTCCCTGTCTCTCCAGCCCCCTTCTTAGGGCCACAAAGGCTCCTCCCTGACCCTTCTGATCATCACCCTTCCCAGCTCTGAGGAATCAGAAAGGAACCTGAGGAACCTGACAGAAGATGAGGCCCCCACCTGCACCATCCTGATCAAATGAGGCGCGGCAGGGCAGGGCCCAGGCCCACCTGGTTCTCACCAGTCAGCAGTGCAACCTTCTGGGGGTCCCTGTCCTGGGCTTGCAGCGGGCTCCATGGCAGCCCCTGCAGTGATGGGGCTCCCGGAGCCTGGTCGCCTCTCACAGGATGTCCCACCAGTTCCAGTTCAGGAGCCACACACCAGCACTGTCTTCATAGTTAGAGGCCCGGCTGTTGGCCCTTAGAGGTCATGAGCGTGTCTGGAGCAGGACCAGGACTAACCACTAGGAGGTGCAATGGTAGGGATTTGGGGCCTGTTTGGCCAGTCCTTCTCCCAGGAAGTCACCAGGGTCCAAGGGTGAGTCTTGCTGGATCAGCCCAAAACACTGGGCCCAGCGAAAGGTCTCGCTTGCCTCTGCTTACCTCAGGCCCCTAGATCTGTGTGACCTACTTAGTCCCTAGTGCCCCTGTCCACCCTGCAGCACTGGGCATAGACGCTGCCTATTCTCTCTTTGGTCCTGGGGTCAGCAGTACCCCATCCTGGCTTGAGCAGGTCACATGTGGCCAGCACTTGGATATCCAGCTAGCGCCTCAGCAAGTCCACCTCAGACTGTCATTAAAGGACCCTTCCTGCTGTCCTAGACAGGAGGCTGAGTAGGGGCACCTATGTAACCTGGTCCAACTGCTGGGCTGCCTTGGGCAGGCCGTCTGCCCCCMGAGCCCCCTCTGTTGCTCCTGTACAGGATGTACACCTGGGAAGGAAGGAGAACAGTGGCCACAGGAGGTCTTCCCAGACCCCAAGACCTTCCCTGTCCATCTATCCCCACTCACCTGGCAGGCCTTCAGACTCAGAAAGGCCAGCACTGTCCAAGCCACTGCCTACTCTGCTCTGAAGTTGGGGTCCTGGATCCCAAGCCTCTTAACATAGACCCTACTTGCTAACCTGTTGGCCCAGTGGGACTTGCTGTCTTGTCCCCGACAATGCTGGGCCTTGGAGTGGCCACAGCCCAAAGTGAAGGCACCGGGCAGCCTGGAATCTCTGGGCCCAGGATGTCTGAATCATCTTAAAAACAGTTGGCTGCCCTAGGGCTGCTGACGTGGGGACAGGGACACAGCAGGTGGGCGGGGCGGCTGGACCACTTTCCCCTCCATGCACCATCCTTTCTTTCCCCTATGCAAAGAGTATTTTTCTAATGCCTGGGCTGGGCTGGACAGTCCTTTCTAAAACTATTTTGGTACTTGCTCCTGGGCTACCCTGTCCCAGCCTCTGTGTGTGTGTGTGTGTGTGTGTGAGAGAGAGAGAGAGAGAGAGAGAGAGAGACACACTGGCACCCAGAGCTGAGGCCCAGTCAGGGTGTGTGTGTGTTCGGAGGCTGGTTAGGATGGGCTTCCCTGTAGATTGTACCTTGGGGTTTTTTTTTTCTTGTCATTTTTTTTTAAAGTTAGCGCTGTTTTAATATTAAAAATACTGATTTTTTAATATTGAAAATAAAAGCATTTAATATCTCTTAAAGGGCAACAGCATCTGCCGTATCCCTGGCCTGGGGTGGGGATGGGGCAGGCTTCACACTGAGCCTGACAGCTGGTTCCTAGAACATCCCCCACTCTGCCAATGGTGTGGCCTGGGGCTGAGTGCTGCTGGGTGCTGGGACACTGGTGAGTAATAAAGCAGGGCTGTCACCTGTGCACACTTTCAGTGAGCAGSTGGTGGATGGAGGCACCTCTTGTCAAGGGCCTGAGGCCTAAAAGCCACTGCTTAGGCCAGGGGCTGGCGAAAGGTGCTCCAGGCATGGAAACAGCGGGTAAAGGCATGCTGCTCGTTGCCCTTGCGGACCAGGCGCAGGTGGCGGGGCCGCTCATGCTCTTTGGAGCTCATGTGCTGGATGTACACCTGGGAAGGAAGGAGAACTGTGGCTACAGGAAGTCTTCCCAGATCCCAAGACCTGCCCTATGCATCTGTCCCCACTCACCTGGCAGGCCTTCAGACTCAGTTTAATCTCCACTTGGCTTGTCTGGGTCCCTACCCACATGTAGACCTGGCAGGGACAACAGGCAAGGTGGTCACACAGGTGAGTGGSAATGTGCCTCTTGTGATTCTGTAATTCCTATTTCCAAATGGAGGGGCTCCTCCTCTAACAGGCAGGGTCAGTGAGATGGGGGTGGTGTCTCACCTCTTGGCCATTGTCTAGCAGCATGATGTCATCATCTGCCAGGTCATCTTGACAAAAGTCAGAGCATTTCTCAGTCACTGCAAAGTAGCCCTTCTCATTGGAGCACCTAGGGGTCAAAATGAGGCCAAGGTCACATGCAACAGGGTCAGGACTAAGAAGGAAGCTGGGGGAGTGGACAGGGCCCTACCGGAAGAGCCGTGTGTGTTTCATGTACTCAGCGTCATCGTCATASGGCTTCTGTGCCCCTATTCCAACCCAAAAGAAGTTCTCAGGTTCCTCGCCTTCATTGATAACCTGTGGGAGGGTCAGTTCAGCCCAAAGCCCACATGCTCTGGCTCACCTGCCCACCTACCCCCACCTCACCTGTTTGCTGTAGGAGGCGTCAAACATGGTGTTCAGAATGTCTTCTGCCAGTTTGGCTTCATCGGGGTCTGATGCCCTTCCCACCCAAGCATACACAATGCCTTGGTTGTCCTCACTCTCAAAGGGAACCTGTGGAGTGTACAGGGGCTTTGGGTCATGACCAACACCCCATCTGCCATCTTGCTCTGTGGTCCTGGCTCACACCCACACCCCACCTTGAGGATGAAGCAGAACTCGGAGTTGAGGAGGCTGGAGTCAGTGTTGATCTGGATGCACCTGGGTGAGGAGGGGTGTCAGTAAAGAGACAGGGCTTGCTCCCCGACTCCTGCCAACCACTGCCCACCCCATCAGGCACCGGGTGCAGAGGGCACTGCCGTTGGTCCGGATCTGGTAGAGGCTTGGTTGCAGGGTGCCCTGGGCCACCTTTCTCTTGCCCCGGTGGATGATAAACTTTCTCTTGAAATGGGACAGGAACTTGGGGTTCTCCTGYTGCTGCGTCATTCGTACCACCTGAGGATGTGGAAGAATCAGGGGCAGCTCCCTAGATCCCACCTGCCCCTGGATCCCAAGCCTCCCTTGGACTGGGTCCCACTCCCCTTCCTTCCAAGGTCATGGGAACACAGCCCCGAGCACAGCTGGGTGTACCTCCAGCTTGCCAGGGAAGAGGCTCTCAAACTTCTTCTGCAGACTGAAGGTGAAGGTGAGCCAGCCCATGTTGGATGCTTCCCGACCCTGCCAGAAGTACACGATGCACTGGAAGTCCTCCTCGGGCTGCTTCTCCTCRGCCTCCACCGCTGCGTCCTCGCCTTCTTTGCCCTCTGCCCTGGCCTTTCCATCCTCCTTGCCTTCCTTCTCCTCCTCCTCGTACTCCACAGGTACCCAGTACCTGTGGGGTTAGAGGTCAGTGAACAGGGGCTGGAACCCCCAGTCCCAGAGGAAGACAAGAGAGGGAGGCGTGCTTTGGTGGCACCTGCAGAGGAAGACGTAGCAGTCCTGCGTGTAGAAGTGGCCGAACTCCTCCTCTGGCAGCCTTGCAAATTTCTTGCCCTCCAGCACGAAGCCCTCCATGCCATCAAGGTCCTCGTTCCATTCCTCCATGAGCTGTTCCGCCTGCAGGTGGCAGTACGTGCCCCCACGGGCCTAACTCACTTGGCCCCTCCCCGGCCCCRCCCCGGCCCCGCCCAGCACCCAGGCCCCACGCACCTCGGCCAATGCCATGGGCGGCTGCCTGGGCAGGAAGAGCGCGGTGAGGTCCGCCTTCATCTGGTCTTTCTTCTCCGCGTCACGTTTCACCTTCCCAGAGAGCCCGGGGCCCTGGAGGACAGCCTCTGCGTTGCGCGTGTAGTCCACCGTCAACACGTCGTCCCAGTTCTTGAACTTGGCCTTGAACACCTAAGGGAGAGCARCGGGGAGGGGTCCAGCAGAGTTAATCTCAGGGTTCGAAGGTTGGGGCCCAAGGGCTGGGGTCAGGGGAGGTGGAGTCTAAGAAACAGAACTAGGAGGGGCAGTTTGTAGAAGAGGTGGTTCCACAAAAAGGTTTGGACCCGTTCTGCAGGTTAGCAGAGCAACCAACCACAGAGGGGCCAGGGGACCCTGGGGTACGCAGATAGAGGGAAGCTGGCCTCTGGATCCCGGAGCACACCTGCGCCTCGGTACCCTCGAGGCTGCGGCTGACCGTGGCGTGGCGTGGTCGGTGCAGCATCCCACACAGTTCCTGGCCCAGCTTGAGTGCAGCAGCACGCACTAGGCGTGGGGACTTKCGGCCAAGCCAGATGAACACGTCGGACCAACAGTCCAGGATGTACACGCAGCGTGTGTCCAGCAGACTCTGCAGCTGGAGATCAGAGGCTGRAGGTAAATATCTGCCACCTGGAAGAGATCCCAGCCCCGTACCCGGTTCTGTGCACCTCACCAGCCGCATCCCAGGCATCAGCTCCACTTTGGGCCGCTTCTTATGTTCCACGGAGAGCTTGTAGTTGATCTGCGGCAGCTCCAGGTAGCCCAGGCCCAAGCCCACCTGGCAGGAGGAAGAGATGGGCATGGCAAAGACTGGGTCCGGGACATCAGCCCCACCCATAACAGCCTTCTGATTTGGAGTCTAGCCTCCTTTGCTCAAGCCACATCCGTTCCTCTTGAGACCTGTTTTTTCCTTCTCTACCCCAAAGTCTTTTTAAGGATACTCYGTGGAAGRGCTTTTTATTTATTTATTTTTGTAGTACTGGGGATGGAAACCTGGTCTTGCCAGGCTCTCTACTACTGAACTATATCCTCAGCCAGTAGAAGGGCTTTTATTTCTATTTTTAAAAATTTATTATTATTATAATTTAAAAAGATTTTTTTAGATGTTGGTAGGCCTTTACTTTATTCACTTATTTATATGTGGTGCTGAAAATTGAACCCAGTGCCTCACACCTGTGAGGCAAGTGCTCTTCTACTGAGCCCCAGCCCCAGCCCCTATTATTATTTTTGAACTACCTCCCCAAACCTTTCTTTAATTTTAATTTTTTATTTTGAGACAGGGTCTTACTAAATCCCCAGGCTGGCTTTGAACTGACAATCCCCCTGTTTCAGCCTCCCAAATTGCTGGGATCACAGGTGTGTGCCACTGTGCCCAACTCCGGCAAGGCTTTTAATGGTGCTTTCCTTGTCTGCCCTTTCCAGATCCTTACTGTTGCTAATTTTCTTGACTCTTTCCTGCTCACAAGACAACCCCAGTTTCCTGTCACATACAAAATTAAAGTTGGGAGCCTGGTACCAGGCTCTATGTCTCCCCCTCCAGGCCCAGGTTCCTTTAGTAACGTGCATGCTGTTGTTCTTAGAGCCAGACTCCAGAGGGGGGCACCCTCCTCTGGCCAAATTCCACAGCCACCACAGTGCTGCTGGCCTGTCCCCAGACCCCAGCTGGCTAGTGACATCAGGCTAACCCCGTACCCCAACACCATGGTTTACCTTGTACAGCTTGGGCTGGGGTGGCCAGAAGTTGTCAGGCACATGCTTCTTGATCTCAGAGGGCTCCCCACCCACAGCCTCCCAGAACTCTGGGGGTTCCTCGCCCTGCACCAGCAGCGTGATCTCTGCCTTCCCTTTCCGCTCATTCTTGTTAATTTTCTCTGCAAAGAGCCTGAGAACAAGATGCAAAGCCCTCAGTGAGACCACACCCATACTCAGATGATACCTTTCCTTTGCACAAAATCACAATACCCTCATACCTGGCCTTGGTGGTGTTACTCAGTGTGGCCTGGGCCCCCCGCCACACATAGATGTCCAGCCCTYGGTCCAGCAGGAACACAAACCTTGAAAGGAGGAGCTATGATGGGGCATGGGGACAATGACTGTCCCATACCCCAGATTCCACCAGAAACAATCCATCATTACGGGCTATAAGCTCCCCTTTATCAGAGGGCCTCACGGGCCCTTCTGCCAAGCTCTGTGGGACAGGCGTTAAAAGGGTGCTGCTAGAGGGCCCCCTCTTTCAGGAGGTCCCAACCTGCACCCCGTAGGCAGAGAGGAGGCTGATGGTCAAACACCTCTACCTCATATCATGGGGTCTCACCTTGGATCCAGGGAGGCTCCCTTGAGGGGAACAGGCTCCAACTTGATGTTCTTTTTCCCATACACACGGTACATCCTGAGGACCGGGACGAGAGTGGCTCAGTGTGGACCAAGGGGCCGATTTACTCCTAACACATTTCCATCCAACCCTTCCTGGCAGAGTGCAGGCCAGTGCCACACTCCCACCCCCTCACCTGGTGACATAGTGTGTGTCCTCCACAGTGTAGAAGCCACTGGCTGTTCCACCCTCAATGTAGGAGATGTCATTGTCAAACACCTGTGTGTGTGAGGCCATGGGATCTTCACCAGGTTGTCCCCTCCCCCAACCACCCCCCGCCAGGCTGGGTRCAG